TGGGTTCTCTCCAGGTACTCTGGCTTACTCCCACAGTCCAAACACATGACTGTTATGTCAATCGGCTGCCCTAAATTGTCCTTTGGTGTGAGCGAGTGAATGATTGTTTGTCCTGTTTGTCTCTGTGTTGCATATATATATATATATGCATATATATATATATATATATATATATATATATATATATATATATATATATATATATATATATATATATATATATTCCAGGATTCCCTTTATTCAGTAACAGGGATGTGTTGGTAAATCAAGGAGTGATGTTGCAAAACTGAGTCATGCATTTAAATGAAAGACTATTACAATTCTTTATCATCACTAACTTTGCTTGTCTAGTCCAGAAACGGTGTATATTTTCTCCTGTAAGCCGGATTGCTTTAGCTATCAAATGACCCATACCAGAATCTCAATCAGGTTGTTCGTCCAAACCAGATTGTAATATTTTAATTTCTTTTTATCATATCCTTTATATTAGCATTAAAAATAATGCTTTCTCTGTTTATTCCTTTAATAAACAGATATATGACTCTCAACATATCACAGATATCTTCCTTATGTTCCTAACAGAGCACTTCGCTCTCAATCTGCAGGTTTACTAGTGGTTCCTAGAATTTCTAAAAGTAGAATGGGAGGCAGATCTTTTAGTTATCAGGCTCCTCTCCTGTGGAACCAACTACCAGTTTTAGTCCATGAGGCAGACACCCTGTCTACTTTTAAGGCTAGGCTTAAAACTTTCCTTTTTGATAAAGCTTCTAATTAGAGTGGCTCAGGTTATCCTGAGCTATCTCTATAGTTCTGCTGCTATAGGCTTAGACTGCTGGAGGACATAGGGAAGCATTTCTCATCATTTTGCTCTATTCTATCTGCATTCTCCCACTCTGCATAATCTGTTAGTTCATCAATCATCCTGAAAAGGCTGAGCAGAGCTACTGACCTTGGAGCCAGGCCTTCTCGTCAAACTGCATTCCATTATCTGACAAATGGGCTTCTGCAAGCATGCTCAAAACAGGCCATAAAAACAGTGGGACAGCCTTCCTGGAAAACAAAGTGTTTATGACATGCAAAGGGACAGACTTTCCTTTGAACCATGTGGATAAAAATCACTGGCTTCCAATAGGAGGCAGGTATATTGTTCATCTTATTTTGTTATTCATAAAAAAAAGTTACCAGCCTTATAAAGACAACTGTTATTTACCTTTTCGAGCAGATCATACTTTCTAAGGAAGCTTATGTCCTTTGACATTTGCAGCAAGATGCTAAATAGTCTGTTGAGACTGTGAACTCTTTCGTTATCACCTGTTGGCATAACAGGCAAATGATTTAAATTAGCTCAACCAGCTAATGCAGAAGGTCAGTGCTGTTCTAGGAACTCCACCATAACCTCTGGAGATGATTTCACAAACATGAATTATTCAAAAAGTGAAGAACATTATGGAGAACAGTGAGCTTCCCCCTCATCAGACTGTTAAACAACAACAGAGTGTCTTTAATTAGAGGCTTCTTCACATTTGGTGCAAGGCAGATCACTATAGAGGATCCTTCCTGCCTACAGCTATCAACACCTATACCTCGTTCAGAAAATACAGCAACATTTAATTTCCCTTTGGGGATAAATAAAGTATCTTTGGATTGAATTATTCTTAAAGTAATGACTTAAGCGTGTGACTGTTATATATAAATAATAAAAAATATACTCAGCATAGATTAAAAAAAAATATTAGATAAAAAGGAGATTCTTTAATTTACAGAGTAAGGTTCTTACAGTGAAAATATTTGCCCTTTATTTTACATTTGCAGAAAATCAGCGGAATAAAAAAAAAATGCAGGCTTGTGTTAAAATATTTGGAGAATATTGTTAAACTGGATTTTTTTTTTTACTTATTGCAGTTATATATTTGTTGCTTCCTGTGTCAAAGCCTGTATATGACTAATGATGTCATAGATCTTATTATTTAAAACGATATGCTTCATTCTATCTCTATTCTCCCACTCTGCAGAATCTGTAGTTCAATCTCTAACGTTCTGCTCTCTCTGCTTTTTCTCATAGTAGCTTCATCTGGTCTGTTCCTGTTTGGCTGGATGCTGGCCGATCTCCAGCATCCAGCCAAACAGATGCTGGAGATCGGGCTGTTTTCCAGTGTAGTCCTGTTTCTCTGACTGTGACTAACTGGATGTGCTCTCTTCATCCTCTGACATGGGAGCTGGCTCGGAGCTCGTCTGCCTGGCTGTGTCTTTCCTGGACGGGGCCCCTTTAACAGCTGCTTTTTCTATGTCTGCTTCTGTCTCCTTGAACCCCAGTGGGCCTCAGCAGATGGCCGCTCACACTGAGCCTGGTTCTGCTGGAGGTTTCTTCCTGTTCAAAGGGAGTTTTTCCTCTCCACTGTGGCTACAAGCATGCTTAGTGTGAGGGATTGCTGAACAGTCAATGAGTCGATGCAATCAGCTGGTTTTTCTTGGATAGAAAACTTTGAATCAATGAGACTGGATGATCTGGTGAACTCTAAAGTGCCTTGAGATGAGATGATGTAAATTGGCGCTATAGAAATATAGAATTCTGTGCATTAGTTTTGCTGATTTTGCTTCATTAAGGTCACATGCCAGACATGCAGATACCATCTAAATTCATGGTTCAATGGGGGGTCTTGCATCAAGTATAAGATGCAGACGGGCTGGTGCCACGTAGTCTTAGTGAATAACAGTGGTGCTGTACAACAAACAGCTGTTTTTTTTAATGAACTAACCCTGGCAGGTTTAGTTGCCCTGGGTTTCTTTAATAACTGGTTGGATTTTCTTTGCTGCAAGTTTTTTTTTTCCAGTTAGCCACAGTCCAATAATCAGACTAATACCATATATGATATCTCAGTTATTTGCAGTGGAGTGTTGGCTTTAACTATGAACTCTGCCGTTTGTGTCCCACTAAGGGTAAAATGATACAATTTCCTATAAATTACCCAACTGCCTACAAGTATAAAAAGTTTGAAATGTTGATAATAAAAAGCTTTTTTAAAGGACTCACCACACAGGTAACAACAACACACTTTGAAGCAAATTATTTCAACCTTTATTAAACATAGCTTGCAAGAGATAAATATAACAAAGTTATTTCCTCCAAAATTAGCTTATTTTTTTTTTTCAATCAATGCATAATTGTCAATCAACTGGCAGTATTCAAACAGCATTATTTTCTTTTACCTTTGAAGATTAAATATCAACTATGTGCAAAAGGTCAGGATTGATGTAAGCGAAACAGAAACGTCTTCAGTTAGTCTCCCTCTTCAACATTTGTTTCAACGATGCAAAGAAAAAATATCGTTGGATGAACCGGACTGGGAATTTTTCCAGCATAAGCAACAACGACCAAGAAAAGAAAGTCAAAGAGTGCAGGACCACGACTGTTCTATGCTGGTGTCGGCAGAAACAGTGATCCCTGATTCAGGATGAGCTCCTCTCAGGTCACCGACATTTAACCAGAACGCTTTTTATGTTTGAACAGGCTGGAGTTTCACCAATGCAGAGATCTGATGGCGTTATAAGCTTCTGTAACAGCTAGAATAATAATAATAAGTGCTCCTTTACATCATGTTCAAACTAGATTCGTAATTGAATTACAAACCAACTTCCATTCCAACCTTTGTTTATACATCAAGTTCTAACGCTTCAAAAGCTCAGTCTTAGACTGCAATGCTGTTCACCTGAATCAGTAAACACTTTAGTCCAAAATTTGTAAAATCCGAGAATCAAGCAAATGCATCTAGCGAAACCACATGGGTGGGGTAGAGGGGTATCCCTAACATTTTGCACATTTGTTACACAATAATACACAGTGATCACAAAACAAAATGACAAGCTTCACAATATTCATGGCTTTTTGTTTGATTTTTCTACACAATGTACAACCATTTAATTTATTCTTCAGTACAAGGGAGGAAAATGCTTCTGTACAATAAGTCGTTATTACTTCAAACCTAGCAAATATCGTGTCATTTATTTCAATAGTCGATACATTTCCTGTTTTTTTTTTCTTTTTCAAAACTGCAATAAAACAGAAAGCTGAACTCAAGTCAAGACATGAAAATAAAAAGGATTTCAGAGGTTTAAAAACATTTGTAGCTGAAAATGAATATTGGAAATATAAAAGATGCATCGGCAGAAAGGGATGAAAAGGGTTTTCCTCAAATTCAGCTTTACACTTAGATCTAAAACACAAACTGTGTGTTTTTAATGAAACTATGCTGCTGATAGCAACAATCTGTGAAAACCACAAACAACTTAAACCTTTCCTCCAATATTCAAGAAAAAAAAAAAGTAAATGAAACTTAAACTGAAAACTGGTCGTCAGAAAAACACGATTATAGTCCAGATTCCTTTCTATCAGCTTTAATGTTGTGCAGATAATAATTACACAAACAGAACCGTGTGAATTCCTGCGTAAAATAAAAAGACCCAAATATTACGGCAGCCATACTGCAAACAGGAAAAAAAAACAGACAAAGCCCCAAAGCCTTCAACTTCTGAGATGCATAAATCCTGACGTCCCACCTAGAGCTGGTGTTATTGGGAAACTAAATATTGCTGATGTTCATCCAGTCAGATTGGTATGAAAAAACTAAAAGAAAAGATCAGAACAGAATAAAAAGTCAAATGGGTTTAAAGTCCACAACTTTGAAAGAATTAAGCTGCAAGTTTAGATTCTTGTTTAATGAAGAGGCCATGGATAGTTAATATCTTAGCAGAAGAAAAGCATCCACTGCTTTTTCTTTAACAATTTATTTTTTACATGTTGTGTAGAAAGCTGCAGACACACAGACACCACTAGTCTCTCCTCCATCTTTTGTATTTATGGAAATATTTCAAGGCTCTGATCCAAGACAGAAGCTAAAACTGTTCACAGCAGCAGTTCTCCTCCTCCTCCATCAACGAACACAACTGCTTTGAAACCAGTTATCTAGCTCCCAGGCAGCACATTAAACTGCTTTATTTTTATCTATTTTTTAACAGCTGCTCTGACATGTCCAGCTTTACATTAGGGGTTAAATATGGGAAGGTCTACAGACTATAAACCGCTACATTCTCCCGCTCAAACAGACCTCTATGGCCAGAGGTTTTTATGTTTGCATGGACCGTGCTTCTTAACATGTTGGGGGCCATTTTAACTTTTACTAGCACTGAAGGTACTACTGATAATATACTTAAGGTACTGACTTCTCAATCTCATTAAAAAGAAGATCATCTGTTCCTTTTATCTACAACAGGTTGGGTAGGATGTGGTTTTAATAAATAAAATGATCAAAGCGTTTTCTATATTAATGGGGGGAACAGAACTAGGTGGTTAAGATTGCAGCCGACAGAATCTAGTCTGTTTCATGCAAGTGAGACGTTTGCTATGGAGTACCACAGGGTTCAGTGTTTGGCCCTTTTACTATAGGTGCCGATGGCATTGAAGAAATGTAAAATATTGTACGTTGATGGGTGATTCTCATCTGCATCCAGATTAGTCAAAACGAGCTAGTCTGGATTCTCCATTATTAGGAAGATCAAAACGATTTAGAAAAGGTTTTCAACTCGTCTAATATTTAGCAGAAGGAAGCTAGGGAGATACTTTTATAATTTGATTTCTTTGGATTCTTGATAAATGAATAGCTCGATATTATTCTTGTTAAACATGAAACTCTGAATACAAAGTTCTGTTACGAATGATTGTTTTAAACCTTCCCATCAGAGCACTTATTTATCTAACTTCCAGTTTTGTCTGTAAGACGGATACGCAATTTATTTCTAAATTTTTAAATAAACGCTTTGATCTTTTTTGATAAAACTCTATAGTTTCGGTGGCCGTTTTGGCGCTTAACGACACACCTCAGGTATTGAGGTTTTACCTCTCAATGGAACATAGACCGAGCAGTGACTGTGTTTATATCAATGCATCCTTAAAACAGCCACAGAAGGACCTGCTGCCATTATTCTAGAAAATTGGCCGTAGAGATTCGTACGGAGCGCTTCACACAAACAGGAACCTGCAGCCATAAAATAGCTTCAGAGGAGGAAATGCTTTGAAGTCAATGATAACTTTTAACAAAATGACATTTTAAGATCAAAATCAATATGGAGTTGTGGAGAACGCCAATAGAAATCTTATTTAATCGGATTTGAATAAACTGCATTTAAATTAACTGAATTCGGACCAACTTAGAATCAAATGATCCAATAGATCCAACAAATTTTAAAGCCATTAATGGAACAGGTTCATTGCATTAACCTGTGTTGACCTTGGCTCTTGTATAGATAACCTTGAGATGTTTTCTGAACCGACTGTATGAAGATTCAGGTCACATGTTTCTAGGAAGGAGAGACAGAAGATCTGGAAGTTTAAGAATCGCAGAGTTTTGTCCAGAAAGTCAATAGGTGGTCATATACTTTCCTATTTAAATGGAAAATAATGTGAGACACTCCCTTTTTCAGGTGTTTCTGTCTCATTAGGGTCGGACGATTGTAGAGAATTAAAATGGGGCTTAAGGAAGCGTTGTCCCTTCAGAGTAATCTATGAGAACGGCTTGAACGTCCCACTCAAAATGACCTCATGCATGAGGGGGTAACTATGTACCGTAAATAATACTGCAAACAGAGTGAACACAGCTACAAACCTGAGAGACTGCAAACTGATTAAGTTTCAGTCAGGTGGGCGGGACAATCTGACAAGTCTGCAAAGACCTGGGCGACAAAGATTGAACAGATCAGGGCTGCCTACGTAGACACCGTTTCTAAATCCTAATTAACAGGAGGCTCTAAAAACCCTGCAAACAAAGAGGTGTTAAAAAAAATAAAAAAAAGATAAACCTTGCTCAGAATTTGTACAAGTCATGACTTGGGGCTGCAAACAAAATGCCATAATCCTTTGTCTTCCCTAACATCCAGCACAGAAAACACAAAGCATCGCTACGCCATGATGGAAACATTTACAATGTCAGGTATGTGGAAATAAAAAAGGTTCAACCTTCAGCTGCTGCAGACTGCATGTCCCATTCACTGAGGATGTGTGAGAATATATATATATAGATAGATATAGATATATAAAATAGGGCTGAAATTAATCTGTTAATTTGCGATCAATCAATTGTTGAAAGAATCAACTAATTTAATAATCAATTAATGTTTAATTGGAGTATATAGACTATAAAACATGCCTTTAGTTGACAGAGCAACCCACTAAGAGCAGGAATTAAATCAAAATTTTAAAAAAAGTTATATAAATATTTAGAATTTCGGATTAAAAAAAAGTTTAGGCTGTCAATATCCAGAACTCCTCAAGTAGAAAAGTTTTACTTTTATCCTGTTTAATTTAATAAGCCATAAGTCTTCTTAAAGGAACCCTTGTTTATCCAATTATTAATCGACTTGTGAAATAATTTGTTGGTTGCAGCCCTAATATATATATATATAAATTATATATATATAGACGTATGAAATATGGAGATTGTCTAGCAGAGCAGTTCCAGCTATAATGTTCACCTCAGAGGAATCTGTCTGATAGCAGCATGTTAGCGTGGCGCTACAAATCCTGCAAACTTCAATAGAGTTAAAGTGATTAGAGCACGTTAACCAAATTGTTACAAACACTGACTGAGGATGTGTGCAGCGGTCGACGCGTGAAACATAAAAAGCAATGAGAGATGCATGAGGATCAGTCCACATCAATGTCATTCTGTAACCAGGATAATAACCCAACTGATCGTGACCTTATTACTTTCTATCCAACATTCATTTCTTTGTACTGAAAACAACAACAAACGACCGAAAAACTAAACTAAACTAAATTTCCATTTTGGAAATATGAAAAGTGCTCCTCTGGAGTGAGGCAACTTGTGAGCACAGGGTGCGCACAATGATTGATCCATGTCTCTCGTAAAACATCCGCATCCTTTTTCCTTTGTAGCTAGGCATCTATACACAATCCATAGATTTTTTAAAAATTATTTTTACAGTTTTAGATTATTATCGTCTCCGGTAGCCGATGCCTCTCAGGTAGGCCACCAAATCATTTGAAGACGCCGCACGAAAAAGTCAGGGAAAAAAAAAGGATGAGACACACTGGAAAAATAAACTGGGATGCTGGGTGGAGAATCTGATCAGGAGCGACTCTGAACTCTCTGCACACAGAAACAAAGAGGAACTGATGGGATGGAAATAATTCAGGGGGAATATTGAAGAAAAGGCAGAGAAAAAAGGAGGCGGGAAAAAAAAAAAAAATGCATCTGGCTCCTCGGTGAACAACGCCACCTGGAACATCCGTCTCCTGGTTCATCAGCTCCCCGCCTGCTTGGTCTGATGCTTCCTGTAACAGCAGAAAGTCGCCTCCGAAACAAAGGAAAAGCTGCTAAAGATGGGAAATATGTTTTAACTCCATCAGATCCTCTCTGGTTCCAGATTAGTCAGTTTCTCTTGGTTCTGATGTCGGTTAGGGGGGGCGACTCCAGGTCTGGGGTCAGGCGGCGTTGGACCCTCTGATGAAGAGCTTGAGGCGGGTCACTGATCCGCGGTGAGCTCTCTGCTCCAGAATCTCAGAGTCTCTCCAGAACCAGCGCAGCCTGAAATTCGTTCTAACAGAATCTTTAACTCCTTTTTTAAAATAGGAGTCAGCAAACTAATCACGTTTAAAAACTTGAGAGTAAATAAACTTGATGTTGCATAGCAACCAGAGTGAACCCTGTTGATCTTCTGTTTTGAACAATAGTCATAATAGCTTTAGTGGAGAAAAATAAAAGTGTTGTTACTGATAGTCTCTTAAAGCAAAGATCAGACGGCAGAGAGAGAAACATACGTGCCAAATACCAATGATAGCAGAACGGAAACCAACTTGAGCTTAAGTGGCCAATGCAGTAGAAGCGCTACCAGCGGTGATTCTAAAGGGACGGGGGATGCTGCTATAATAAAAACAACTGCGATGCGCTGACGGCTTGTGTTTCTGGTCGACTCTCACGGGTTGGTCTGAGATAGGCACACGGACAGGCACTGCATGCGATGGAACGGTGGGGGGGAAATCTCAGCTGATCTGGGAGCGCCTGGTGGGGGGGGTGGGGGGTTATCAAACGACACTGGCCTCTGACACACAGGAGAGGTTAGCGGGGCTCATTTCTGCCCGGTGATGGACTGCGATATGGAGCGAGGCGGGATCATGTCCAACAGGTACTCTCTTTGCCGGTCCGCTAAGGTGGAAGTCTTATGGGCTCCAACCGCTGCAGGATTCAGGTAGGCAATATTTAACCCTGCAGGAAAACAGAGACGCAAACAAAAGATCAGTAGAGAGAACTACAGACCAGATAACATTTCAATATAGAAATTCAGATGCTTCACAGTTTTAACACAGAGATGACAAAAGTACTCACTTTCTGTACTTGAGTAAAAGTACAGATACTTGTGTTAAAAATACTCTGGTAAAAGTGGAAGTACTGATTAAACTTCTTTACTCAAGTAAAAGTAACAAAGTACAGGCTTGTAAATTTACTTAAAGTATAAAAGTAAAAGTAGAAACCACTTTTTTCATGCCGTTGCCTACATTTTAAATGGATGTCTGCCAAGAGGACTAGATCTCCGTTGTGTTCATTTTCAATCATCTCGTCGTCCATGCTACTATGCTAACGCCACCGCCACCAAGCTGCAATGATTTGCCGCCAATGAATACCGCCGAATCTGTCGATTCATCTTGTAGCGGTGCGTCAAATGCAACGTAGATTCCCATCCAATTAGAATGAATTTGGTATTGATGACGTGAAAAATAATAACGGTAACTCCATTGAAATGATTCAAAACTAAAGTAACGAGACAATTTTTTAAAATGTAAGGAGTAGAAAGTACAGATATTTGTGTAAAAATGTAAGGAGTAGAAGTAAAAAGTCGCCATAAAAATAAGTAGTAAAGTAAAAATATCAGAAAAATCTACTTGAGTACAGTAACCAAGTATTTGTACTTCGTTACTTCCATCTCTGGTTTTAACACAGAGTAGAAAAATATCAATATAAATGAAACAACTTCACCTTTTAGCAAATAATCCAACATTAAACAACAAAACAACAACATCAAAACAAAACCAACAATTTACCAAAAAAATAAAAATAAAAGGAATAGGCTGAAGCAAAGCTTATTACCCTGTTTTAAACTTACAACCTTTACAACCTATCAGCTTCTTTACTGCATATATAAATATTCAAATCTACATAACATAGGATTTTATCATTTTACATTTTAAAGCCCTTTTAAAATTCACCAAGAAAGGACATAACTTTAAATCATCATTAAACTCATTCCACATTTTCACACCAATAACTGAAACACATCTAGACTTTATCGGGCTCGTCTCTTTTGCTCATTCAAATATAAACAAACCTCGCAAATTATATTTATTTTCTCTTAACTTAAATAATTTCTGAATACCAGAAGGAAGACTTTTGTTCACTGCTTTATGCATTATTTCCAGTATTTTTATATAAACAATGTCTTTGAATTTTAATGTGTTGCTTTGAATGAAGAGTTTATCAGTTGGTTCACTTTATCCCACCTTATTAATAAGCCTTAGAGCTTTGCAGACCTTCAATATTTATTAAATCTTTTATTTTAAATAATATTCTAATAGTTTTTGCAATTTTATTTCTAATATATTCTATGTGAGGCTTCCAACTAAGTTTGCTGTCTATAATAATCCCATAAACCAAATCCATAAACTCTTTCAATTTCAACTCCATTTCTACATAACTTTACATCGTTATAGACCCGATTACCAGAGAATACCATAAATTTAGTTTTCCCCTCATTTAACGACAACTTTTTATAATCAAACCATGTTTTCAACTCAGCTACAATCCTATTGCTTTTATTTTTTTTACACTAAATTCATTAAATCACTGCAAAGATATTATTTTTAGGTATAAATAATGATCCATTGATTATTCCTTGCGACGGACTGGCAACCTGTCCAGGGTGTACCCCGCCTCTTGCCCATTGACTGCTGGAGATAGGCACCAGCACCCCTCGCGACCCCGATTGGGACAAGCGTGTAAGATAATGGACGGATGGATGGATGGATGATTATTCCTTTCCTTTAAAAAGAAGCTAACAGCAAAGACAGGAAGGAGGATTGATTTCTGACAGCCTGTCCTTACCTGGGATATTGTAAATCTGACGACGGCTGTCGTGCTGCAGTCTGTTGCTGCCGCCGCCGCCGCTGCCACAGTGCTTGGCGCCGCTCATCCCCATCAGGCTGCTGGCCACCGACAGCTGGGAGGCCTGGGCGAAGTTGGAAAGGACGCCTCTTGCAGAGTTGGACAGACCTCGCTGCAGAGAGGCCTGCGGCTGCTGAGCCTGGAGACGGACGCAATAAAGCATTAGGGCTTCCCAAAATGTTTGACCTTTGACCCCAGACTAACAATGCAACAAACATTACTACACTAAATTATAAATACATGTAAATAATGTATTTATGATTTCATTTCTAAATAAACGTGTTCTATAAAAATGACAAGAACCAAAGAAATTTAAAGACAATGATGTTGATTTTTATTCCATGTTTCAATTCTATAAACTGAATCGTTTTAGTCAGCATGAAGCTTTTCTCTTCATAAGAGAAAAAGTGTCTAGGAAGTGTATGAGAAGAACAGAAAAGCCTCAGAATAGAGAAACAAGACCAGAGTGTTTTTGGGAGATTCTTTCATGCGATGGCGTACACTGAAAGCACAGGCTGGGCTTCCCACTCATAACCTGACTCCACCAGATGGATTTGCTCCGCATATCCATCTGGAAACCTTCCGTTGAAGTACCGTATTTTCACGACTATAAGGCGCACTTAAACGTCTTTTTTTCCCCTCAAAATGTGCGGTGCGCCCTTTGGTGCGGTGCGCCCTATGTGTGTTGTAACTGCGACTTTTGAGACCACCTCATTGAGGAGATGATGAAAGAGTGGCTGAATGTAAGGAGACCAGGTGTTTTTTTTTCACTCATCACCATCGCTGTTAATACGTAACTCCATGCGTGCGCATCTCACAGCTGATGTGAAAAACATGGGGAAACAAATTAACGCTGTGCTCGCTGTTCAACCGCTCGACATCGGTGTGAACCGGACCCAGCAGGTGCAGCAGAAGCAGCGAGTTTACATGCAAAGTCAATGGTTGACGCGCGTATAGGCGCAGCAAAAGGTCCTGCACCGCGTTTTGGTGCAGCACGTCGGGAGCGTTTAAGCATCTGACGCACCGCCAACGCGCTGCTGCTGCTCGACATGGAAAAATTGAAGTTTTGCTGCTGGACGCGCCGCATCAACCAATCAGAGAAGCTGATCTGGGAGCTGACAGCGAGACAGACAGCGCTCTGATGACATATGATAGTAACGCAAATGAAAAGGCTGGGTGGATGCGTGGCTGAGGCAGGTGTATGTGAGGAGACTAGGTGGTTTTTTCCACGCATCACCATCGCTGCGTGCCCATCTCACAGCCGATGTGAAAAAAAGATGAATCAAATGAACGCTGTGCTCGCCGTTATCCCGGGGGGTCTGACAAAGGAACTTCCACCGCTCGACATCGGTGTGAAGCGGCCGTTCAGCTGCGAGCGGCGTGGGAGCGATGGATGACAGACGGAGACCACAGTTTCATGATAAATGGAAGGCAGCGCCGGGCAAGTTACGCCACCGTTTGCGGATGGATCGTAGATGGACTGTGTCTGCTGGCTCTGTTGTTCAAGCTTTCGCAAAAGCCGGCATTATTTCTGAGGAGCCGCGCTGCACGGAAAGTGACTGACAGCGCAGAAGGGGAAACTGGCATGTCTGATTTAGCGCAGCTGTTTTATTCAGAGGAATGCTGAGGATAACAGAGGATGATGACTTTGATGGGTTTGATTAATACTTTGTAATAAATACATGAATAAAGCACAATCATACTCAGTTTTGCTCCCGCTCTATTTTTCTACCTGAAAACTTAATTCAACAGCAGCCTCTGAGCGGGTCTCCTCCTCTTCAGCGCGGTGGCTGGCAGGTGTTTTTTCATCTAAATAATCTAAATCTTGCAGCTATATTTGCTGTGATCAGTTGGAATAAAGTAGTTTTAATATGTTTTTAAGTGAGAAAGGCCACCTGAAAACTTAATAATTGCAGTCAGTTCATCCAGATTATCTATTTCTGTCGGAGGCGCTCAGACCCCCACATACCAGCGGTGCGCCGACAGGAGAAATCCTTTCGTTCACCGCGGCTGCTGGCAGGTGTTTTTCATCTAAATAATTTAAACTGCAGGCACCAGGATACCGGTAATAAAAGCGAACATATTCTGTCGGCAGGTTTCAGGATTTTAAGTTAATTTAGGAGCGATCACAGCGCTGTGTCATCTGCGATGTGTCTGTCTCACGGCCAGCTGCCAGGTTTGATTAATACTTTGTAATAAATACATGAATAAAGCACAGTCATACTCAGTTTTGCCCCCGCTGTATTTTTAAATACGCAGTAGAGGTATTTAAAGGTAGTAGAGGACATGTACCTGTATATAAAAAACGCGCCCTATAGTCCGGTGCGCCTTATGTGTGTGTTAAATACAGAAATGGGACACATAACTGAGAGTGCGCCTTTTAGTCCGGTGCGCCTTATGGTCGTGAAAATACGGTAATTCTGGGAAGGGACGAAAATACTGGTTAGCTGATTGGCCTATGTTGGTGATAGACGGGCCAAATAAACCAATCAGATCAATGAAGCATATGACGTACTAACGGAGCGACGACGAAAACGCAACCACAAGCCAGGCTACTCTTGCTGAAACCAGTCGGGAGAAGAGCAAAAACATCTTTTCCTCTGAGAAAAGCCTCCAGAGCAGTGTTTTGCTCTTCTTTCAGTGAAGAAATACTCTGTAATTCCGATAAAACTTGCTCGATAGCCACGATAATGCTAGTTTCATCGGCTGAAGCCGCCATGTTCTTTAGACTGAACTGTCGCGCTTCTCGTTGCGTCACACCTCAACCCGCCTCAAAGCCAACGCTGATTGGACGTTTGTTTGGTGAACGGCTCCAAATTTTCTTTATCGGAAAGTAGCCAGACCGATCTGCGAGTGAAACCTTGAAAGCTCGCGAGATCAGGATGGTCTCACGAGGCTACCCCACTCATGCCTCAGTTGCAAAGTTTCTACTTGACGGGTAAAGTTTGGCTTTTTGGAGAAATCCTTTTCACATCACTGGAAGTAAAACGAGGAGATATGGATTGTCCACGCTCTTGAATACATTCAAAAGCAGGTACAGCGTTGAGTACGTGAATTTTTGTTTAAAGTGGAGAGGGCGGGTCTTTTCGAAAATTCAGGAAAATCCTCCCCTATAGCTTTAGCAGAAAAAACCCCAAACATTTTACATCTCAGTAACATCACAGTATTCCTGCAGATTATGGAAAGTGAAAACCAACTTAGAATTTTCCAGCAGATTCCTGTGATGAGAAAGGAGGACATTTGATCCCGAACAGAAACAACTTTTGGTTCATGGTTCAATATTTCACAGAGTTTCTAATGTCATAGATGAATAATGATAGTTCAGTAGGTGAAATGGACGTACAGAGAAGTTCAAACCCCATCAACACCTCCTTTCTCTGCCAATTCTCCCAATTCTAAAGTTTCACCATAAAACGGGTGAATTCAGACGAAGCACAGAGTTGACATAAACTCAGGGATGTCGCCTTATTTGGTTCTGGCCTGTACTTTTTCGACGCCCCAAAATTGACATGCATTCACATACAGACTGTGAAGACATTTTCACAGTCTTCCCAAATATCCGAAGAATCGACAGGCATGGATTATTTTTGTCTATCAGAGGATCTCTGCAAAGTTTGATGCTCTGCATTTGCTTGAAGCATTTTACCGAAAAAGGCTTTCAAAATCTTGGACAGTTCAAAGTAGGGGTGGAACGGTTCACAAAATCCATGGTTCGGTTCACGGGTTCGTGGTCACGATTTTCGTTTCGGTATATGTTGATTGTTAGCATGACATGTTGGTCATGTTGCTGTTAGCATAAACAAAACGTGTTGCACAATGCATGCACACTGTTTTTATCCACAACTTTCTTCCCACCGTCATCGTAGGTCACTCTAAATGCAAAGTGGTCCCATACAGCAGACCTATAAAGTCCTGCTGGCGCGTCTTCCAACTCCTGTTCTTTCCCACTCGCCATACCCACACAATTCTCCACAACAACTGATTTTTTTCTGCTACAACCGGCTACGCTGCTTCGCTTCTTCTTCTTGTTTACTACTGGCGGTTGGCTTTGGACGCAGTACCGCCACCTGCTGCTCTGGAGTGTAAACGCTTCGCCTATGAGAAAAAGGAGCAGTGCAGCGAAGTGTGATTCTGCCGCTAAGCTGTTGATAGCAATTATAGCATATCTATGGTGACGAGATTTGGGTTTCTGAAAAGGAGGACTGTTGGGTCGCTGACTGGAACAGACCGGGCATTCGAACCGAGCCACGAGTTCCGGGCTGGTCTGAACCTGATCTGGTGACGGTATGCTTCCCCCCACCTGCCTTACCGTAGACGTGGCCGCCGGGTCGGGTTCGTCAGCTCCGACCAGCCCCGGAGCTGACAGCTAAGTTCGAGTGCCCGGTGTGTTTCCACAACATGCTGCAGTGTTGTCGACCAAAATCCCAGAATATTCTGAAATTCCCCGACATTTTTTTAGCTATGAAAAGTAGGAAATGTCCGGGATAAACAGAACGTCTGGTCACCCTACCATATCAACAATCTGATATTTCAGTGAGTGAGTGCTTGTTGCTATGATACATCTTTGCTCAGCAGCTTCCCTCGTTGTAAACCAACCAATCAGAGCACAGCTCATCTAAATATTCATGATCATACCATAAAAGGAAGAAAACCTGTGGTTTCATTTTAGGGCTTTTAACCAGGCTGCATTAAGGCTCATAGAACAGCTAAGATGCATGTAAACCAGCTACAGGAGGAACATCCTTCCACTCACCACTGATTTCACATTCATTCCCCTTTCTGTCACATTTCTACAATTCAAACAATGAATAATAAAAAGGAAAACAGGAAATAACCACGATTTAAACAATGATTCCTGTATTCTAACATTTGATGAGAATATGTTCCCAGCTGTAACAACTTGGACAGATTGTTTTGTCCAAAAAAGCAAACTTACCGAGAAATGTTTTATGAACCTGCTTGATAGATATAAAGTCAGTGAGACTTGATCTGAATGAGATTACGATGCAGCTATAAGAAATATGCTGCATTCACTTTCAGTTATTCATAAAGTGAAATATATTTATGTTCAGTTTAGGCAGCGATGTACTCGTATGGTTTCTGACACGTTTTTCATAAAATAAGTGAATTTTTTCTTGAATTGAGGAGGTAAGTGAGAAACTTTGCCAATAGAACAAGACAGTTTACAGTTAAAATTAGAAAAAACAATTGCATTGTCTTATTTCAAGTAAATATTATCTAATTATCTTATATTAAAAATAAAAATACTCATTCCATTGGCAGATCATCTTATTTACCTGCTCAAATTAAGTCTAAATACACTTAATTTAAGATATTTTTTACTTATTTTTTTAGATTGTTTTGCAGTGATAATCATACTTCAATTGTTCCAATCAATTCAGTTTATTTCTATCGCGCCAATTCGCAACAGATGTCATCTCAAGGTGCTTTAAAGAGACAATTCCTAAATTGTTCCGCTATAAGAACATTTTGTTTAGGATCTTCTAAAATGCTGCAAACCTACTAACTAACTCCGAGATTCCACATAATCCATCAGCGCTCTGCTTACGTACGTCGTACTTGACATATTAATCAATGAGAACTGGCTACTCCGCCGCACCTCACCATCCACACACGTCTTCTCCATCCTTCACAGTCAAAATACGGAGCCCAAGTTTTTTTTGCTCCGCTCTGGTCCGGCCTGCTCAAGATCTATAACTGTAATCGCACCAAATAGGTAAAAGAACGGTAAGAAGATCCGGTTCATCAAATTAAAATATAGTAACGACGGATCAGTAACTACAGATTATAGCATAATTCTAATATATTCCCAAAACCCAAGACCGTTAAAGTTACCGTATTTTCGCGACTGTAAGGCGCATATAAACGTCTTTTTTTCCCCTCAAAATGTGCGGCGCGCCCTATGTGTGTTGTAACTGCGACTTTTGAGACCACCATGAGAACGTTAAAGGGGGAAGTGTGGGCGTGGATTGGCTGCCACTAGGGCTGCAACTAACGATTATTTTAAAAATCGATGAATCGGCCGATTATTTTTTCGATTAATCGATGAATCGGACAAAAAATATTTTTTATATTAACCTCTTTATTCCAAAATAAACATTTTAGACAGAACAAACAAGCACACAAGTACAGGTTGCTCATTAACTGTACTGGTGCAATATGAAAAATAAATGTTTGTGTTACAACTACGCAAACTTACATGAGAAATGTAGCTGTACATCCACAAAATATAGGGTACTTTGTTTCATAAAGCGCAAAAAAATACATTTTTGTTTTTAAAAGCCCCTAAGGGGTTCAAACAATAGGCCCCCCCATTTCAACAAATGAGTTTTTTTAGACTAGAAGAGTTCTGCCTTTTAAGACAGGAAAGTATAGCAGTTAAAGTTGCTACTTGAGAAAATACTGAACCATAGAGATAAAAATAGCCCTGTGATTCAAATTATAAATTGTATTTGGAATAAAAATGAGAGAACTAGGGGTGCTAAAAAACACATCCTCCAAAGACAGATATTTACATGGGAATGTGGCAGATAATTAATTGACATATTACTGATCTTGCTGGATTTTATTCTGCTTTACTTCCATAAATTGCAGGATCTTCTTTACTTTATCTTTGCCAGAAGATTTAAACTTTAAAAGCCTTGCCCTCATAATTTGCAAGTTAATTTATTTATAAAGAAAATATAAACGCTGCTTAAGCTCATTCAAATGAAATTAAAAGTAAAATAAGTAGCCAACCTTATCACTGTCTGTAACCTACTAACAAGGTAAGGAAAGCATCAGATGAGCTACCTGAGAAACTAACGTTACGTTTCCCCACTTTAAAACCAAACAAACATGGTGCTTCCGTGCCATGTTCATTTGTTTTTACAAAAGTTGCATGTTACGACTTTTTTCACTGTACAAAGCGCAGGCTATTTTAATTATTGTGATCAATTTGCGCCATCAATCCAGGTGCATGCGCGCTTCATTTGCAGTCTGGACGCTGAGGGAGTGAGGGGAGGCGCGGGGGGGAATGATACATGCTTTCACGTAATAAGAGTCTCCAAAAGCCGCCAGTGACACCGTAAAAAGTCGCCAGATTTGTCGCTAGTCGCTTTTTTGAAAAATAGTCGCTGGAGGGGTCTGAAAAGTCGCTAAGTTGGCAACACTGCACCTGCGGCGCTGACTCGCTCTGACGTATTTTTTCTTCTTCCCCCGCTTCAGTCAAGTGGATGTGATGACGGCGGCGGCGGATGACGCATTAATAGCGCGACACAACTAATCGATGATGAAATTCGTTGCCAACGCTTTTAAAAGTCGATTTTTATAGATTTTATCGATTCGTTGTTGCAGCCCTAGCTGCCACACAAATGGACAGAAACTGCCGCCTATGGTGATTTTTATGAGAAAGACTTTGTCTAAAGAAACTTTTCCAGCTGGAGTCGTTATTAAGGCAAATGAAAAGGGCTGGATGGATGAGGAGATGATGAAAGAGTGGCTGAGTGTGGTGTCTCTAAGGAGACCAGGTGGTTTTTTCCACTCATCACCATTGCTGTTACTCTGTGACTCCATGCGTGCCCATCTCACAGCTGATGTGAAAAACATGGTGAAACAAATGAACGCTGTGCTTGCTGTTATTCCGGAGGTCTGACAAAGGAACTTCAACTGCTCGACATTGGTGTGAACCGGCCGTTCAAAGTAAGGCTGCGAGCGGCGTGGGAGCGATGGATGACACACGGAGACCACAGTTTCACGAAAAGTGGAAGGCAGCGCCGGGCAAATTACGCCACCGTTTGCGGATGGATTGTAGATGCTTGGGCTAACGTGTCTGCTGGCACTGTTGTTCGAGCTTTCGCAAAAGCCGGCATCATTTCAGAGGAGCCGCCTGGCACGGAAAGTGACTCTGACAGCGAAGAAGGGGAAATTGGCATGTCTGATTTAGTGCAGCTGTTTAATTCAGAAACAGAGGATGATGACTTTGATGGGTTTGATTAATACTTTGTAATAAATACTTGAATAAAGCACAATCATACTCAGTTTTGCTCACGCTCTATTTTTAAATACGCAGTAGAGGTATTTAAACATAGAGGACATGTACCAGTATATAAAACCCGCGCCCTATAGTCCGGTGCGCCTTATATGTGTGTTAAATACAGTAATGGCACACATAACTGAAACTGCGCCTTTTAGTACGGTGCGCCTTATGGTCGTGAAAATACGGTATTGGATTTATTTTATACAGAGAGGCTTTAAAGTTTAATCAAATCCAGTCCAAACTTCCAGGAGAGCCTCTGACAACTTCAAAACAAACGTCTTATCTTATGCGTGGATGAAGAGATGCTGAGTTTGGAAGTATAGAACATCTAGTTATCCCCGTTACAAAACAAAAAGAAAATATTTGGGAAGAAACTGCACATATGCTGGATTCTGATGGGATTTTTCTAATATGTCGTATTAGATTAAGCGTTCATTACCGAATATTTTGCTCCTATGAGTATAATAATAATATCACGCATGCTCTCCTCGAGCTCCAAGGAGGTCAGAGCGGAGAAAGATGAGAGGAACAGCGAAGGATTTAGGCTTTGCTTTGTGCATGAGGTCTGGAGTGGAGAGGAATGGAGGACGTGGGATTTCAGGGTTAGTGTTGCAGCCATGTGTGTAAATGAAAACCTCCTTCCTGTGGAGAGGATGCAGTGTAACTGTGATGCAACGTACCTGACGCAGGGCGTGCTGTCGGATCATGGTGTCCGTCTTGGAGACGTTGGGACCAGTAGAAGCAGAGCTGGGTGAGAGAGCGGCCTGCTGCTGCAGCCTCTGTTCGATCTCCTAAAAAAACAGACGGATTAGAGTCTGCTTCTAGAGAACTTTCTAATCCCATTATCACTTGTTTTGCTTTTTTAATGTTTTTTTATTCTTGTTTCTAGAAAACTTAAAGCTAAGAAGGAGACATTTCTCAGAGATGAGGTTCGCACTCGGCCTCCCATGCACTCCTTTCCTGTCATCTAAGAAGTCTTTTTTTTCTTAAAATAAGCGATTTTTCTTAAATTGAGGAGGTAAGTGGGACACTTTACCAATGGAATAGAAAATTTACATTTTAACATTTTAAATAAGAAAAAAAAAAAACAATAGCTTATCTTATTTTTAAGTGCATAATATCCAATGACCTTATTTTTTTTATTTTTTTTTTAATGGGAGCTGTGTTTAATAACTGAAAACATTTAAATTATTGGTAGAGATTTTTGTATGATCTAAGCCTAAAAAAAATACAAGACAGACAGTTGGCTTCTAAACGTGAATACATTTGTAAAAAAAAAAAAATTACAAATCATTTTACCAGAAATAAATCAATTTTGATATATATTAAATTGACATAAAAAACCACTATACAATAATTTAAATCACTGTCCAGCTTCTAATGACATACTTCATTGTAGAAAAAGTTACAGTTTTTTTTGCTTCCTTCTAATTCAAATATTTCAATATATTTAAACATATTTTCACAATATGCTTTTTAAGAAGTGAGAATAAGTTCTCATTGAGGCGTGACAGTTTGGCAATAAGTCACAACCGTAAAGGATGGATAAGAACCACAATGATCCACACTGCAAAAATATCTGCATCTTGGTGATGTTCCTTTTAGACTATGAAAGGAACTCGGAGGAAGCCTACATGCTTTCAGTTAAGTCAAGTTGCTAAACTGAAACTGGCCTTATCTAAACATGATCTGGAGATAATCCAGGTTTATGCCACAAATCGTCTTGAATGTTGCAACTCGCTTCATGCTGGGATTAGTCAATGACCTTATTTTAAGATTCATTCCATCGGCAAATCATCTTATTTTCCTGCTCAAATTAAGGCTAAATACATTTAATGTAAGAAAATGTTAATTTCTACATTGCTTTTCTGTGTTAACAGTTACTGTTGCTCCTTTCGAGTAAACAAGTTGAACTGAGGAGGCTCCTGAGCTGTGATGACTTCAGATTAAAATCATTATAGCTTCCAGTCTGTGTCCACTGACCTGCTCCTGCTGGAGAGCCTTCACGAACGCATTCTTCAGTCTGTTGGTATGCTCTGCCTTCAGAGCCTTCTTCTGATTGGACGTCATGCATTGCTCGCAGAGGATTCTGCCGCTCTTCTCTTGCTTCCAGTGGGGTGTGAAGTCTGTTCTGCACTGGGCACAGAAGAAGGGCTCCAAACGGGCCAAAGACCCTCGGAATTTACCTGCAGAAAAAAACACTTTGCTTCAGCCTCACCGTGCAGCACAGAGATGTAAATACGATGATGTAACATCTCTGTTTTCAACAGTTATAACAAGACAAACGTGGATTTGAAGAGGTCTTGTTCTTAACTCATGCTTTGGTTGTTTGTCAAGCAGGCTGATTACCAAAGGTTTTTTTTTGTCAACACCCTTAAAAAATAAACCTGAGATGTTTTTTTGAAGTCCTTACCCTGACTGTCCAAGACGCTCTGCACCACTTCCTCCAAACCCACCATGTAGATGAACTCGCTGTTTGCAGCCGAGGGCAGGAAATGGAGCAGCGGCGCCGGGGGTTTAGGTGGAGGAATTTCCAGCAGTGTTTTTTCCAGCTGCTTCCGTAGAGCCAGCTTGGCGGCTGCCTGGCTGCTGGCCTGGTCAGCCATGGAGCTCACTGCTCCGCTGGCGGAGCCAGACATGGTGGACGGGCTGACGGCCGAGGCGCCAGCGAGGCCGCCGGCCACGGCGCTTGCCCCTACTGCTGCTGCCGCCTGCATGTGGGCCAGGTTCATGTACATGGCGCTGGAGCTGGAGCGCTGGGAAGCTGCTACCTGCTGGCTGGCCTGCAAGGGAGAACAAAAATCGGCTCATTGAAAACCAAACATTCAGCAGACGATATTTATTCTATTTTCAACCACACTGCTTCATATATACGCATTACAATAAAAGAGGCAAAATACCACCAGCTTCCTGAGGCCGTGACAAAGAGGATGGATCGAAGTGCTTTATACAATCACATATGCAATACGGTTCTAATAGTGTCCAAAATTAACATTCACCACTCGCCAAGTCCAACTTAATTTTTCATTTGGTGGATTAATGCAGGAGGGCCATCTGCCACAAGGTGAGTAAATGTTTAAACCACAGTTTCACTTCAGTCAAGCCTTTTCTTTTATTCTGTTATATCTCTGCTTCCTTTGTTCCTCACACACCAATAGACAGACGCCGGTGTAGGTACAAGATTGACTCGGGCTGCCAGATTGACTCGGGGGGCCTGCGCCTTTTGATGACGTCACAATACATAATTGTTTTAACGTTTGCACAATTGCGCAAAACATTTTGATTGGTCTGGACAGCTTACTAAAGTAATTATAGCGGGGTGTAGGTTTTATTCGAAAGCGGGATTGCGGTTTGTAAACGGACAATTTTACGAAGAAATTCTCCATGGTCCCTGCGCCTTCCGATGACGTCACCGAATTCGCCAAGGGCCTTGCGCCTCCCGATGACGTCACATTATGGCAACGCCACTCAAACAAACTACATTGAGCCATTTTTTACCAGCTCTTTTGTTTAAATGTTTGTGTTTACATGAGAATAAAGTTTGAACTGAAAAAAATATATACCCATTTCCTGTAATCTGTAAAAAAATTAATGAAAAATTTATGTTTTAATGTATTATAGGCATTTGGTCAATTAACGGACAGTGCCAAACGATTACCGTTTATTGGCTAAATAAAATAGATTTGTGACAAATAGAGACCGCGGGCGCAATGTAGTTTGTTTGAGTGGAGTTGACATATCGTTACGAGTGGCGTTGCCATATAGTGACGGGCGGAGTTGCCATATTACGACGTCATCAAAAGGTGCAGGCCCCCGAGTCAATCTGGTACCTACACCGGTACAGAGAGCCCACCTCCATTTAATCTGCCGGCGGCTTATAGATGGAGCAACCAGCCTTCTAAAAGACAACATGCTGATGAGGAGGAGGGGGAGCGAGGATCTACAGAAAGTTTAGTGAAAAATGGTGATTTCAGGAAGACTCTTTCACAAGAGACTGGCTTATTAATGATAATGTTTAGCTGAGAACACCAATGTTCTCTCACCTTGGTGAATTTAAGTTGTGTCTAACTAAAGGCTTTTTGTCATAAGTTTGTCTAAACTTCTTCTAAAACTCTTTTTCAAACATTTGTTCTATATACACACAAACACACACACACAGATATAAATATATATTTATGACAAAAAGTCTTCAATTAGGGGTTAGGTTGATGAAAATTACAAAAATAAAAACAAAATTAATAAAAAAAAACAAAATAACTTTACACGCTTTTGCAAATCACAAAAATTTTGTTTTAAATACTGAATAATAATATAAAAATATTACTTATAATATATTAATATAAAACTTTGTGTTTATCATATTAATATTCAATTGCTAAATATATAATTGCTTATCTCATCCAGTTTGAGTTCAGTTTAAATAGTTTTTAATCTGAATAAATATGTGTAATCTAACTAAAAGGTCATTTTAAAATATGTTTTGGTCTTTTTAGTAGTTGTGTGATATAACAGATTATTGTAATAATATCTCAGACTCGTCTTTCGTGATTAAAATGAGATCTAAGGTGTCTCCTATTCATTCTGCCAGCAGCTGAGTCAACGATGGTCTGACCCAAGATGGCCGCCCTCTAGGTATGTCAGCCTTGCTGCTGATGGCGTCCAATGAGGCGTCTACGTATGTAATGTCTGTGGTGAATACATTTAAAGGTATAGTGGAGGGGGTTCTTTTCTAGGTGGATAAGTGGTCCTCTTAACTGTCAATCATTCTGCTGATATGTTTACGTCAGACAGTCCTACACTGAAAAAAGTGAAACAAAGCTGTTTTTCATTTAATGTGTTTGTTTTCATTCCAATGAGTTAAAAAAAATAGTTTGCTCAATTAAACTAAACTTTCTTAGTTATATTTATGGTTGAATCTATTTTTTTTTTACTTTACTATAATGTAAACTGACAGCGAGGCACCAAACTGATTTTTATTTTATTTTAAGCAAAGTCTTTTTATTAGATTGAGCAATTTGCGCATGCAAATTCTTTAAAAGTTCTGGCGGCAATTGTACTTCCGCCTCAGCCTCCACCAGACGTCGTGCTGAAGAGAAAAATATCAGGCATTTTGCGCAACGTTGAGGTAAGTCATTACGATTTTTAAAGATGACTGGGCGTAAACCTTAGCCCCCAGACAAGATTTGTGTGAGTCTGTGCTTTTGTGGGCAATTAACTGCTCTGCTAGCATTAGCGCTGGAGGGGAGGGGGTTCGCCGTCGTTGTCATTGGAGAGGCCGAGCAGAGGTTTTATGGGTCACCGGAGCTCTGGAGAGGAAGCTAGCCGCCATGATGCGAGTGTGTGGGAGCCGCTAAGCTTGAGCTCGGTCTCATGAGCTCAGCAAGAGTAGGCATACAGAAGTTGAGTTCCACTGTCTGGCCTGATTTTAATTGCATTTCTACAACCAAAACGTTGTACCTTGTTATCTGAGGTTGTTGTTTGGTCACTGTTTAAATGTTAAGTGAGACAAAAAATATGCCTAAATGCTGTTTGAATGGTTGAGATGTGGAAAAAAATCTTACTTCAGCAATAAAATTTTGTATTGAAAAGCAATGGCTTCTGAGTGTAAATAAAAAAAATCAGGTCTATAAATATTACATTATGACTTTAAATTATTATTTGAGACAACTTTAAAAAAATAGTTTGCTCCCATATTCAAAAGTTGTTTAAATGAATTTAAAATATTCAGGTTGAACCAAGTATATTATTTACATTCAGTAATAAAACCAATGTATTTATTTTGATTTAGTAAAATCTGAAATAATTGCTTTGGTTCAACCTTCAGAAATTAGTTTACATGAAGTAAAATATTTCAGGTCAAATCAAATGGATTGTTTATATTGCATGATCGATTATCTCAATTTTTTTAAATTGAGCCAGTGTTTCATTTTTTTCAGTGTACGTTCTCGTCCCCATTTTCACTTACCGGTGCCAAAAGTCTGACATAGTGGAAAAATCTTCTTTGTAAGCTTGTATGAGGGATGCTAAGTAAAACTTTTGAAACAGAGCGTGCATGAGGAGAAATGGGCTGGTGCACGCTCTCTCACGCGTTTAATAGGCGTTGCCTCTTGGGAGCGGGTACTGGATTCTTTTTTTTTTTTTAAAGTGAGTTAAAGGATGTCTTTTTTTCTTCAAAATTTCACTAAAATCCTCCACTAGACATTTTTTTTAAACTAATTTCTAGATCCTTTTTGCAGTGTGTTCAGTAATGGTTTTTCCAGATTAACAAAAGATGGCTTCTTAACCCCTCGCTCAAACCATCTTTCTTCTTTGGACAGAATATGGACGTTGTTGTCCTCAGACGTGTCCTTTAGCTTTCGGGTGTAGGTGAGCAGCAGAGTCCTGTCCTGAGGAGTTAGCCCTCCTCTGAAATGTCTTCTAGAAAACTTTCACAGACCATGGCCTGGATGACTGAGAATCTTCACAGAAGTTTAACCTTCTAAGTCACAGAATGATTGAACTTTTCCAACACATCCGAATTTCTGGGAGGAACCTGTAAAGTTAACTGCAAAGAAAGGCTGCCATTTTGAATCAATGTAGTCACCTGCTGATAGTTTACGGCGTTGGCCATGCTGGATGAGCTGGATCGGGGCATCCCAGGTTTGGAGGAGATCCTCTGGCCCTGCAACTGGGACGGATTGGGGGCTATGACCCGCTGGGACATGAGCATCGGAGGCAGGCTGGTATTGGCTGAACGAATGACCGTATGACCCTGAAAGAAATGTTTTAAATCCGATTAAAACACATCATTCTTATTGTTAGGGGATATAAACTAAGTTGCAAAAAACAGAAACTCAGATGGACTCTGAGGTAAAAAGTTCCTAAAGCAATTTTAACTGAACTTGTATGATTTTTCTATATTTGGTATCAGGGATGTGAGGATATACGGTACCAACACAGACCCAAGGAGGTACCAGCCACCAGCGCACACAGGCAAAAGCAGAATTATTTACAGTCTTATTTACATTTTATAAACATGGGAAAATGTGTGCTGGTTATTGTAGTGAAATTGGGAACGATAACAATCCAGTTTATTGCCCAATTTGTTTTAAGAAAAGTGCAAATGTTCTATTTTATGTCAACCTGCGCCACAGAGATCCAGCTACGCACATGGGGGGGGTCACTGTGTTGCCTTAGCAACGACTGTTTTCTTTTTCCTTTGGAGGGCAGAAGCCGTCCCATTCTCATTCATACCCCCCCATTTAATCAAGGCCCATTCCACAGCTGTGATTGAGACGTTATTACGAGTAACACTTGATAGTTAAGTATTAAAGGAAAATTCCGGTTTTTAACACTTTTAGCCCCTTTTCTGTAGTGTCCAGGATGAAATCGAATGATCGACACCAAAATTTTGACAATTGGTCCTGTCTCTGCTATTTGGCTCATGCAGAATCCCCCCTGGCTGCTTCAGAATGGCTTTCATAGTGCATGTCCGATAATGTCCTTAAAACAACCTTAAACGTTCTTTTTTTTTTAAATATGCTACTCACCGGGTCGTCAGCGCTGTTCAATGACGTTCCAAAAAAAGTTTCGTGAAGAAAAACCGTTCCTGTCTTGTTTTATTTAGCATTTTGTAAATCCCAGAACTATTTTTTCCGATACATCACAACCGCTTATAAACTTCCGCTTCCCGTTCGAATCTGAAGCGTTGCACACTCCAGACCACTAGTTGGCGACAATGTCTCTATATACTCCTCCTCAGTATATTCCGGTTCAAAAAGGTATCATCTACCGTCAAACTCAAAGTCCAATATGTCCTCCTCAAGAATCCACCTTTCGTATTCCATTTTCAGAGTTTTTTAAAGTGTTTAACAGAGACGTTAGCACCTCGACGTTGGAGTACACAGAGTGAAGCAAAAAGACTACAACTGTGTAAACAGGCCCCATTTCCGTTTCCGGTGGCAGGGGAATATTGACTATTCCAACAGAACTCAATGGGATTTACAAAATGCTAAATAAAACACTACAGGAGCGTTTTTTCTTTACGAAACTTGTTTTTGAACGTAATTGAACAGCGCTGACGACTCGGTGAGTAGCATATTTAAAAAAAAGAACGTTTAAGGTTGTTTTAAGGACATTATCGGACATGCACTATGAAAGCCATTCTGAAAGCCAGGGGGGGATTCTGCATGAGCCAAATAGCAGAGACAGGACCAATTGTCAAAATTTTGGTGTCGATCATTCGATTTCATCCTGGACACTACAGAAAAGGGTCTAAAAGTGTTAAAAACCGGAATTTTCCTTTAATAGTTAGGAAGCAGTTTGGGATTCAGCCATAGTTTCTTTCTGGTAATAGATTCAACTGTAAACCTCTATTCCATAGTGAAAGTATAAAGAGTATCAAGAGACTCACCATTTTTTTTTTTTGGTTTGGTTTAAAAAAAAGAAATAACCTATATAGCTGTCCTTATTTACTGTGGCGTTTTTATGCTGTAATTATTTAGAAGTGGTGTAGAATCACTGATTCACTGGATGGCTGATAGGCCCTTGGTAGTACACAGTGCTGTGAAGTCACCAGCCGCCATGTTGGTACTCCCTAAGAAGACCGGGCGGAATGTAAACAATATGTGCACTACCTGAAAATGAAAAAATGATCGAACAACGTTGAATTTCTCATTTTCAGGGGGAATGTCAGACTGTTTAAATAAAGATGAAGTCGTCACTTTGACACAAAGTTGCTGTTTCATAGCATCTGTAGACCACTGTAATTTATGATAAATAAATAGGCAGGTCACATTGCAGTCAGTATGAAGTCTATAAATCACGTAATATAACATTATTATACAAATCCATCACAACAAAAGAGTGTGTTAATGGAGCATAATAATAATAATAATAATACGGTACTTGGATATTAATATATGTTATGCCAAAGGTGCTAAATTGATGAGGTACAAGTAATAAACATCTATTGATCACAGTGTTATGGTAATTACATGACATTAGAGGCATTTTAAAGGTGCGACTCGGTGAGAGTGGGGAGTCCAAGAAGGCGGCAGGTGACCTCAAATTTGGCGGCCGATCAGCAATCCAGCGAATAAACAGAGATCAATGTGTAGAATCTGCAGCAGGTGGTTTTACGGATTGGTTCATCAGTTGGTTTCTGAACGTTACAAGGTTTTATTAATATTACTTTAAACATTAGAGAGAAATATACTGATGATTTTAAATTCAAATTTGTATTTATGAGTACTTAAAGACTTTTAAATATATGTACTTTTAAATACTTCAAGTTGAGTAGATGTTTGACTGAGTAACCTTTCCTTGTAGTTGAGTATTTGACTCTGAGTCAAATCTTTTAAGCTTACTGCTGTACTAGTGTTGAGGACTTCGTCTGGATCTATTTACCGGTGCTGAAAGGAAAGATCTGGAATCCTGTCAGGTGAGGAAACGTTTTCATAAAATGTCTTGAGGGACTTCGTATGAATCGCATCCATTAACTGATCTTCAGGGGTTTAAATGAGAACTATCCAGTGTGGTCAGAGGGGAAGCGCCACTAAGCAACGTGTTCGCTCCTCAACATGGCAGCTGTAAAGTAGAATCGCCGTGACGTCACACTGTTGAAAAGCAGCTATCAGGTATTGAAGGCAACTGGTCCAGGCTGTATTACTGCCATCATCCTCCGCCCAAAAACAGACAGCAGAGGGCAGCATCTGCCTTCTAGGCTCATCAACAACCAGGGATGCTCGCTGCATCTCCACAGGAAGATTATCTTGATTCCAGGAATATTTCAAAAATTGGAAAAGCTTCCAACTAATGGCTGCCTGAATGTTTCAGAATTTTCACTTTAGTCAACAATGAGGCTGCCGTTAAAACAAACCGATAAACATTTTCAGCACCACAAACCAATGTTGATGGCTTTTCACCCTAATATCTTAAACTGGGCACAACTCCCTCCCACTCTTATAAAACCCCCACCCCCATACCTGTGCAGTTCTGAGATTCTGAGGCTCATTGTTGTGCAGGCCCGGCCTCACAGGCAGCTTCCCTAACCCTGCAGAGCCGTGTAGGGGAGCAGGCTGAGCAGAGGATGAAGAGCTCTGGACCACTGGAACCTGCAAACAGCCAGAACGTCACATTCATACTGGAGTTAGTGAGCTTCTCTGTCTTCCTAAAGAATCAGACACTCAACATATTTCCTCTCCAGAACCGCTTCATCGCTACAGCTAAATAACAACTTTGTTATGAGGTTTGATCCCACAGATTCATTCAGAGCAAAGGAATTAATGTCAGCTTTTCCTAGTCTGCAGTGAACCATGAAGAGCTGGTCCATTTAAGATGATAAAATAAAATAAATAAATCAAAATCTACCCAGAACTCCTCAAGTGGAAGTTTTAGATTCATCGGGATAAATTTTGTACAAAATCTTCTTTAAGGAAGCATTTGTTATCCAATTATTAATTGCTTAATAGAAAATCAACAGTTTAAGCGATTTCCAAAATAATCATTATTTGCAGCGTTTGATACATGCATCTTTATTCTCTCGATTATTCATTTAATTTATTTTAAGAAAAAAGCAGTTCGTTTTTTTAATCCTTTGCTTCACTCAGTAAGGATAAAAGTCTGACTAATTTCTTTCTGAGGAATTTTTCAGGCTTTCGGAGGCTTTAGGTCCTCTGATGCGTCTCTTCTGCACTTTGGGCTGCACTGGAAATTTTTTTAAATCTAGATAAGATTAATGTAAGTCATTTTTTCCTTACAATAAGTGCATTTGTTCTTGGATTGAGGAGATTAAAAAGATATTTTGCCATTTACATTTAAAATAAGAATTGCTTATTATCTAATTATCTTATTTTAAGAGTAAAAATACTCATTCCATTGGCAAACTATCTCATTTACCTACTGAAATTAAGGATAAATACACTTAATTTAGGAAATGTATTTTTTATTTTTAGATCGTTGTTACAGTGTGATGGCTGGTTAAAGGCCCGCATTTGGGAGGATCAGTCAAAGAAGTGGGAGCAAATGCTGACGGAGAGGAAACCCCCCCCACTGTGCTCCTCTGGAAGCCTGATTTAACGTTGGTCATGCTATAGTAACACTTTTATTATGAATAGTCCTTGTTTTTTCTGGATTACTCAACATCTACAGAGTCGCTGATGCAGCATTGATGACTTGTCTCTTTAACGAGGCTCGAAGTGAAAGATCCAGGGGTAAGTGATAAGAGCCATGCAAAGAAAAGATAGCATAGCTTCGTACATCAACTACAGGGCTTTGTGGTTTTAGGGAGAAAAAGGCAAAAAGAAAGACCCAGATGAACAGAAAAGGCTAATCCATCACCTATCCTTGACTTGGGGAAATGCTCCCAGTAGCTGAGACATTTGAAATATCATCCAGTCTTCTGGATCATGAGGAAGCTTCAGTGACTGATCAGAATCAACCAGCACAACAAAGGCTTTGGTTCTGGAATTGAGGTGGTAAGTGAGACACTTTGCCAATGGAGCAAGACTATTTACATTTAAAATAAGAACAAACAATTGTATTTTCTCATTTCAAGTGCATTTTATCTAATGATCTTATTCTAAGAGTAAATATTCTTATTCCATTGGCAGATCATCTTATTTACCTTTTCAAATTAAGGGTACAATTAAGAAATGTTTACTTATTTCTACATGGTCTTTGCAGTGAGGTATGTTGGAGCTGCTACAAGGAGCTCGAGATGCAGGTTTTGTCCATCTCAACCAAAAAAAGCTCCAGAAAAGTCCAATATTTGTAAACAAATGGAGACTCCAACCTTTTGCACTAAATTCTCCTTCTGCATCTGGCTCTGTCTCAGCTTCTTGAGCAGGACGAGACGAGCTTCTTCCAGACGCAGCTCTTCCCTCAGAGCTTTTATCATCTGCTGTCGCTCCTCTCCTGTTTTTCCCTGGAAGAAAGACAAACACAGCGATGCATATAACTGACCCACTTCACACAGTTAAAGATGGAAAACTTGAGCAAAATGACGACTCTTGACTGAATCAGACGGATATTTAAGTGGTGAAAAACAACTGTTAAAAGCCCGTTGATGTGAATTAACAGATTATTAAGCAGTTTGACTTCCTGTTCAAAGGGAGTTTTTCCTCTCAACTGTTGCTACAAGCATGCTTGGTGTGAGGGATTGCTGAAGAGTCAAGGCAATCAGCTGGTTTTCCTTATTTAGATAAAACTTTGAAACATGATCTGGTTGAATCGCCTTGAGATGACATGAGTTGTGAACTGGTGCTATAGTACTGAAATTGACAAATGTGGGTCATGTTACTTTAATAAATCACTGAATGCAAAAACTAAAACCAACATCAAGGAGCCAATTTCTGGTTTTTAGCTTCATTCTGTAAGAACCCTGGATCAATTACCCACATGGACCTTTAACTAAGGTCATTTTTCACAGCAGAGACGTTCAGCCTTTACTGGGGGCTTCTGAAAGCCTTCCATGCATTAGAGATTATTTTTTCAAAGTAGCACCGAGTCAAAACAAGGTCCAGCTATCTGGGAGCCGGTGTAGGTATACATAGAAGACATTCCATAATGCATTGAGACTCTAATACCCCTTTCCCATTGGTGGAAAAGCCAGTTGAAAGCCGGGAACAATTTCTTTTACTGGCAGTGGGAACAGCTCACTAACGCGTCTACCCAGCTCAAACGAGTCGGCAAGTGACCAGTGTCAAAATCGCCTCGGCTCTGATCGGCATGAGGTGGGAACGCCAGACGAGTCGACCTACTAAATTACGCGACATCTGTCGCTCTCCATTGTTTACTTTCCTGATTTCAGTCAGACCACTCAGCAATTTCATAGGACTGACAATGGAGGAACAAAGTAAAACACATCCACTTTGGGTGAAAATAATAAATAACATTCCACTTTGGGTGAAAATAATAAATAAAATAAGTTATTCGCATGGGGAAAGTCAGTTTTGGTAAATCGTGTATTTACCAAATGATGGGGAGTAGATGCTATTTCAGTCGAGGGAAGCCATTTAAACAGTAATTCAAATCATTTTTATTTTCTAGTACATCTAACAACACGTACTAATTGTAAAGCTTGTGTTGATTGACTTTTGAAATAACAACAAGCTTGTAGCTTTTATGAAAAACATTTTTGGGTTTAGACTGTAGCTTTTGTCTCTGAAAGATTAAATGAAATCAATTTTTTTAAATATTGATATAGCAGGAATGTCACTAAGGGAAATATTTGCCTAAAAACAGCCAGGAACCTAAAACTCCAATAACTATCTTCAGCATTTTTGTAAAAAATTTGCCAAAGTGGGTTTATATGTAGGGGTGGTTGATGATGTCACCGACGGCAGCTCCTAAATAGCCAAGCGTACAAAGCTTAGTAGAAATGACAAGGAAAGCTGTTTAGGAACAGGAATAAAAACTGCAAACTCTCTGGGAATTTGGATGCACGCTCAAAATCAAACACAAAGAAAGATTTTAAATACAAAAGCAATGTGAAAATGGTTTTATCCATCTACTCTTCACCAGAAAAAAATAAAAATCAGCCACTGTGTAAGAAAAGTACGTTTAACACGTAATTCCCGGTTCACAGATAAAGAGACCGATTTTTAAGCCACCACCGTTAATTAGATCAAATGTTCTCAGGTAAACACAGCTAGAGGTCCAAATTAAAACAAACCACAAAAAAGAACTGTTTGCCGATTAGAATCTAACCTTGAACATCTCCAGGTTGGCCTGGTGGATGCGCTCTTCTGGCCGAGGTGTCGTTCTGGGACTGGAGGCCTCGTTGTCTGACAGGATGATGACATCTGGAGAAGGGGTTTGTCTGTCCCGATCTGCGTCACTACAAAGAAGAAGAAAAAAAAGTCCAGTTATTTAGAAATTCTGAAGAAAACTGAAGTTGGCATGAGGTCAACCGAGCGGCTATAGTTCTACTCATAAACTATGGTCCTTGCTTTTTTCCATCGTCCGCTCAGTACACACTGCAGTACTCAGTGGATGCCGGTACGATCAGTTCATGCCCTCCTATTTTGTGATGTATCAGATCTTCCAACTTTCTTTGTAGCTAATCTGGGATTTTATTTCTAAAAGTGGCCTGAAAGCTGATTCACTTCAAAACGGAATTTAGCTGCATTTGTGCATTCATAAAACACTAAATTATCCATCCAGTACTACAGCTTAAACCATTTAAGTCTAACCCAAAAGGGGTCGGCCAATCACATTGCATTATTACTGCTTGCTAACCAGAATTCTTTACTATCAGGAAGTCCACAAACTGTAGTTAAAAGCCTTCAGCTGATCCAAAATGCTGCAGCCAGAGTTCTGATGAAAATTAAAAAGAGAGATCATATCTCTCCTATCCTGGCTTCTCTTCATTGGCTTCCTGTTAAATCCAGAATAGAATTTAAAATCCTCCTTCTCACATATAAAGCCTTAAATGGCCAAGCTCCATCTGATATCAGAGATCTGATTGTTCCTTATGTTCCTAACAGAGCACTTCGCTCTCAATCTGCAGGTTTACTAGTGGTTCCTAGAATTTCTAAAAGTAGAATGGGAGGCAGATCTTTTAGTTCTCAGGCTCCTCTCCTGTGGAAACAACTACCAGTTTTAGTCCGTGAGGCAGACACCCTGTCTACTTTTAAGGCTAGGCTTAAAACTTTCCTTTTTGATAAAGCTTATAGTTAGAGTGGCTCAGGTTATCCTGAGCTATCTCTATAGTTATGCTGCTATAGGCTTAGACTGCTGGAGGACATAGGGACCCCTTTTTTATTATTCTGCCTCATTCTATTCTATTCTCCCACTCTGCAGAATCTGTTAGTTCAATCTCTAACGTTCTGCTCTCTCTGCTTTTTCTCATAGTAGCTTCATCTGGTCTGTTCCTGTTTGGCTGTGACTCCATCCTGGAGAGAAAAATCAGCTGTGCTGCTGCCATCAACACCTTTATTTTCTAGATGTTGGAGCTTGGCCTGTTTTCCAGTGTAGTCCTGTTTCTCTGACTGTGACTGGCTGGATGTGCTCTCTTCATCCTCTGGCATGGGAGCTGGCTCGGAGCTCGTCTGCCTGGCTGTGTGTTTCCTGGACGGGGCCGCCTTTTACAGTCGCTTTTTGTATCTATGTGTCTTTTTCTATGTCTGCTTCTGTCTCCTTGAACCCCAGTGGGCCTCAGCAGATGGCCGCTCACACTGAGCCTGGTTCTGCTGGAGTTTTTTTTCTGTTAAAAGGGAGTTTTTTCTCTCCACTGTCCCTACCAGCATGCTTGTTGTGAGGGATTGATGAAGACTAAATGGTTTGATGCAATCAGCTGGTTTTCCTTAGATAGAAAACTTTGAACCAATCTGAATGTATGATGTTTCTATTGGCGCTATAGAAAAACTGAATCTAATTCCAAGCGAGGAGCTGTCACATCAATCTAAAAGGTCTATAAGGATCTACGTGAAAAAAGTTTTTAAAACCATCTCATCACCCTTGATTACCAGGATGACGTATGCTGCAGATTAACACATGTATCGTGACGCAGCGTCAGGCAATCACGCCTGTCACCTTGTTGACATTCTGCATAATGCAGAGTTTTTTGTTTTTAGGGATAACCAGGATTTCCTGTTGATCCTTCAAATGTGGGTTGGTCTAACATGCATATTTATTCTCCCTAAAGAGTAGCCAAACTGGGTCCAGTATTGGAGGAGCCAACCTGCCTCAACCACACCACCCTTATCGAGTTCCTGGTGTTAACCTGGAAACCGCCTTGGATTAGCTGACAGGTACGCATTTTAAATAATCGCCTTGGATTAGCTGACAGGTACGCATTTTAAATAATCAACAGTTAATTAAGTCCCTTCCTGTAGCAGCACTTTGGACCATCAAATTCCATTGATTTAGATCATAAAGCCTTTTGCGGAAAATGACCTACTTAAGTGTCACAGCCAATTAATTTATAAGTGAGACCTCTGGGCTTTAGACATGTACAAGTTATGGCGTCTTCTAACAGAAGATTTTGACTCTCTGTCAAGCTGGAAACTTCTGCACTTCCTGGAAGGCTTTCTTGGTGAGATAGAGGAAAACCCATGGATGATGGAGTCTGTGTGAACTCAGAGTTAGAAACAGCTTCAAGAAAAATGGGAAAAAAATACATAAAGTAGGATAAAAGTTGAATTTTCTTCTCTTGAAGTTGCACATAAAAGAAAACAATTCATATTACTGAAACTACTTCCACTGGGCTGAGAGAGACATGTCTTAAACAAGTTAGCATTCTTTGATAAAAGCAGAAACCCTGTGCAGAGCAGGCATGAAGCCGTCATATGGGGACCGTCACGGTGTTACTCGTCTGGGTCGCAGTATCCTAACCTAACTCGGCCAGATGGATTTGCTCCGTATATCCATCTGGAAACGTCCTGTTGAAGTAATTTTGGGAAGGGGTGAAAATACTGGTTAGCTGATTGGCCTATGTTGGTGATAGACGGGCCAAATAAACCAATCAGATCAACGAAGCATATGACGTAACAGAGAGACGACGAAGAGGAGCCAATTGATTTTATGGGATTCTTTATAAATAAGATTGATCTTATTAAAAATAAGATCATAAGCACTCCTCTATCCGCGATTGTACCTGAGGTAGTCATGGAATCTGAACCGGGTTTAGACTGCTTTGATCCAGTTGAACTCTCTGAATTAGCAAAATTATTGTCTTCATCTAAGCCTTCAACTTGTATGTTAGATCCAGTTCCAACCAGATTATTTAAGGAGGTATTCCCTTTAATCTCCTCCTCCATTTTAGATGTGATTAATCTATCTCTGTTACAGGGATATGTACCTAAAGCTTTTAAGGTTGCTGTAATTAAACCTCTGCTTAAGAAACCGTCTCTTGACCCAGATGACTTGGTCAATTATAGACCTATATCCAATCTTCCTTTCTTATCCAAAATTCTTGAGAAAGTAGTTGCCAAACAAGTTTGCGATCACTTCCACCATAATGAACTTTTTGAAGAGTTTCAGTCTGGCTTTAGAGCTCATCATAGCACTGAAACAGCTCTGGTGAAAGTCACTAATGATATTCTCATGGCCTCAGATAATGGACTTGTATCTGTGCTCGTCCTGTTGGACCTCAGTGCTGCATTTGATACAGTTGATCATAATATTCTTTTAGAAAGACTTGAATATTTTGTTGGAATTAAAGGAACAGCACTAGACTGGTTTAAATCTTATCTATCTGATCGAATTCAGTTTGTTCATGTTAATGATAGATCTTCAACACGCTCAAAGGTTACCTGTGGAGTACCACAGGGATCAGTGCTAGGACCAATTCTCTTTACTTTATACATGCTCCCAATTGGTAGAATTATTAGACAGCATGGGATTAATTTCCACTGTTATGCTGATGATACCCAGCTATATCTGTCTATAATCCAGATGAAGCTAACCCATTACTTAGATTACAGGCATGTCTTGAAGACATAAAAACCTGGATGACTCTTAACTTTCTCCTTCTGAATGCAGACAAAACAGAAGTTATAGTCTTTGGACCAGAGTCTCTGACAAAGAAGCTGATTAGCCAGTCACTTCATTTGAATGGGATTAAACTGATTTCAGATAATAAAGTAAAAAATCTTGGTGTTATTTTTGATCAGGACCTGTCATTTAAATCCCAGATCAAAGAGGTTTCTAGAATTTCCTTCCTTTATCTGAGGAACATTCCAAAAATTAGAAATCTCCTGTCCAGGGGTGATGCTGAGAAACTAGTCCATGCATTTGTTACTTCAAGGCTGGACTATTGTAATGCTTTACTATCAGGAAGTCCACAAACTGTAGTTAAAAGCCTTCAGCTGATCCAAAATGCTGCAGCCAGAGTTCTAATGAAAATTAAAAAGAGAGATCATATCTCGCCTATCCTGGCTTCTCTTCATTGGCTTCCTGTTAAATCAAGAATAGAATTTAAAATCCTCCTTCTCACATATAAAGCCTTAAATGACCAAGCTCCATCTGATATCAGAGATCTGATTGTTCCTTATGTTCCTAACAGAGCACTTCACTCTCAATCTGCAGGTTTACTAGTGGTTCCTAGAATTTCTAAAAGTAGAATGGGAGGCAGATCTTTTAGTTCTCAGGCTCCTCTCCTGTGGAACCAACTACCAGTTTTAGTCCGTGAGGCAGACACCCTGTCTACTTTTAAGGCTAGGCTTAAAACTTTCCTTTTTGATAAAGCTTATAGTTAGAGTGGCTCAGGTTATCCTGAGCTATCTCTATAGTTCTGCTGCTATAGGCTTAGACTGCTGGAGGACATAGGGACCCCCATTTCATCATTCTGCTTCATTCTCTCTCTATTCTCCCACTCTGCAGAATCTGTTAGTTCAATCTCTAACCTTCTGCTCTCTCTGCTTTTCCTCAGAGTAGTAGTAGAAACATCAGCTGTGCTGCTTCTATCAACACCCTTGTTTATAGATGTTGGAGATCGGCCTGTTTTCCAGTGTGGTCCTGTTTCTCTGACCGTGACCGAGTGGATGTGCTCTCTTCGTCCTCTGGCATGGGAGCTGCCTTGGAGCTCGTCTGCCTGGCTGTGTGTTTCCTGGACGGGGCCGCCTTTTACAGCTGCTTTTTGTATCTCTGTTTCTGTCTCCTTGAACCCCAGTCGGCCTCGGCAGATGGCCGCTCACACTGAGCCTGGTTCTGCTGGAGGTTTCTTCCTGTTAAAAGGGAGTTTTTCCTCTCCACTGTCGCTACAAGCATGCTTAGTGTGGGGGATTGTATTTGAGTCAATGCAATCAACTGGTTTTCCTTAGATAGAAAACTTTGTATCAATTTGACTGTATGATCTGGTTGAACTGTAAAGTGCCTTGAGATGACATGTGTTGTGAATTTGGCGCTATATAAATAAACTGAATTGAATTGAATTGATAGATCAAACTCTTGCCGAAACCAGTCGGGAGAAGAGCAAAAACATCTTTTCCTCTAAAAAAAGCCTCCAGAGCAGTGTTTTGCTCTTCTTTCAGTGAAGAAGTACTCCGTAATTCCGATAAAACTTGCTCGATAGCCACGCTAACGCTAGTTTCATTGGCTGAAGCCGGCATGTTCTTTAGACTGAACTGTCGCGCTTCTCGTTGCGTCACACCTCAACCCGCCTCAAAGCCAACGCTGATTGGATGTTCGTTTGGTGAACGGCTCCAAATTTTCTTTAACGGAGAGTCTCCAGACTGATCTGCGAGTGAAATCTTGAAAGCTCGTGAGATCAGGATGGTCTGACGAGGCTAGCAGTATCCATCCTCCTGCTGCAACTTTAGGTCATCCAATTAGGAATCCAGCAGAGTTTGATTTGTTCAAGTTGGTTCTGAAGGCACATCTTTAGCTTTCCTTTTCGAGCTTAAACTTAGCTACATATCTACCGCTGCCTGGGATGTACCTAGATATTGTGTTTGACTGTCAGATCAGAGCAATCATCATGTAGTTTGTAGTCCCGGGATAATGTCCACTTTCTCATAGGATAACCAAACGTAAAAAAAAAAAAAAAAAAAACATGAATCATAATTCTTATTCTAAAATTTATATCAACCAAAGACCACCAAGCAAGGGTGTTCTAATCAGAGTTTTATTTCTAATACGTTATTGCAGGTTGGACTATTGACTATACCAATATTAACCCAATACAATATCAACTAGGTCTGAAACAGCAATAATTGTAATTAATTGAATATTGAAATAAACGTCGACTAATTTAGTTATAAATGAATCGTTAACGGGAGTGTAGAGACTGACTGCAACCGACTTAGAACTATAAATATACCAAAATTGTAAAAATATCTAAACATTTTGCATTCAATCTGCTACATCCAGAACTCCTCAAATGAAAACATTTTAGTTTCACCTGGTTTAATTTAGTAAAAATATTCTTTAAGAAACTTTTCGCTACCTGGTTATTAATTGATAAATATTTTAGATTGAGGCCAAAACATTCAGATTCGTTAATTTTTTTTGCTGATTTTAAACCATTTTCCAATATCAATATTGGATCAGAACAGCCCTAAAAAGGAATATGTCCTCAAAATATGATAAACCATTTTGTTATACATATATTTTGCTGTAGAAAATACTTTTTAACACCTAAATTCACAAATAAAAAACGACCCTTCAGCTGCATCAGGTTACTTTCTCTCAGACTCACCTTCTTCTTCCGGCGCTCATATCCACTGGTTCATCCATGATGTTTTCCTTCCCATTCTTACTTTGACCAACATGAACACTGTGACTGCCGAGCCTCAAGCTTCCATTCAGCTTCTCCTCATACGCGGCTCCCATTAAGCTCTGGTGGTGGATGGAACTGGCACTGGGACCCTTCCCATCCCCAAGTGTCCCTGGCACCTCTAGAGCAGCTAGATCAGCCAAGTCCTTGCGTTTTAGAAGGGCCAGCATCTTCAGGCGCTCCATGGCTTCATGACCCTCCATCTTTAGACGTTTGGACAGAGCCTCCTCCCTCTCGGTGGATGTCTCCAGACCTCGTTTTAACAGGTTGAGCCTCAGTGTATCATCAGACATTCGCTCCATGCTGAGAGAGAAAAGAGGAAATGACATCAGCATTAATAATCTCTCGGCATAGACTGAAGATCCATCACATCATTTCATCCTTTGTGATTCTGACATCGCAAAGACTGACTTTAAGGAGGGTCTTTCAATTCAAGGTACCAGGCAGGTCTAGTCTGAACAACAGCTGGTTCTTCCTGCTTTTTTAAAGAGACGTCCTCCTAAACCAGGCATCCCCAAACTAGTCCTCAAGGCCCCCGGTCCTGCAGGTTTTAGAGGTTTCCTTGCTCCAGCACAGATGATTTTAATTGAAAGCAATCATCTACTGCAATCATTATAACCAGCTGTGCTGAAGCAGAGAAACATCTAAAATCTGCAGGACAGCGGGCCTTGAGGACAGAGTTTGGGGATGCCTGTAAACAAACGCAGTATAATTGGGGAACAAAGCAAATATGACACAAAAAACTAAGACATTAGTGCAAATGAAAATGCAAATTATGAAAAAAATGACCAAACCAAAACACCACGAGGTTAACATCTATAATTCTTCTGTTTTCTCTTAACCAGACAGAAAGCTATTTTAATATAATGTATGAGACAGTTTTGTTTTAAATAAAAACCGGCTCCATGGATTAGATTCTTTTGTTTTGTTTACATTATTACTCCTAGCTCTGCTTCTTGAAAATAAACAAGCGACCCTAAAGAGGAAGCTTGGCCTCCTTTAGCTGGAAAGAAGAAGAAAAAAAAAAAGGTATCTGCTGCCAAGTCTCCACCTTTACGTCCAACGGTTAGCGGTGTCATGTACCCCGACGCCCCACACCCTGCTTGGCACTTCTCCTCCAGCTCGACTGTTACACTTTTAAACATGCACGCATCCGTGTGTCGGTTACTGACCGAGGACCATGCATTGACTTCTGTTCATTTTCAACCCGTTTAACGGAACCCGTACTGGCTCACACCCAACTCATCTTTTAGTCTTAAGCCTAACCTCGAACACGTAACACACTGAGCACATTAAAACAAACTGTTGAGACGGCGTTTGGAACAATGAGCGCCGACTGTGTGCTGTAACGCTGCAGTCCTCTGAACTAAACCCACAGTCATCCTCATTTGGCACAGCATTCCAACAGAGGGAAGGATTTTTTTTTTTTTTTTACCCTTCCTTTCTGCTCCAGCTGTACACTGCCACAAAGAAACCCTCCCTGCTTTTCTACCCTCCCCCAATTCTTTAAACCTTCGTCGTTTCTCCTCCTCCTCCTTTTTCACTGTAAAAATAAACATGCTTATTCTCAGGGGCCCCTTAAATGCAGCCAAAGCTTAGATTTTCATTTGTTGGTATTATACCAGCCTATCAGGTGTAGAGAAACGGAAAAAAAAAAAACCAAGACACAGCCAAGATATACAGAGGTTAGATCTTTTGGCATCTAGAGAAATCTTTCCAAATGTCTCCATTGTGTGAAGAGAGTTGCTGCTCGGCATGCCAGATGGAGCTTTTAACTTAGCTGCACACTAATTAATGGGGACATATGCCAAGGTGGGGAGAAAAATGGATGTCCTAATGGGTAAAGATAACTTTCTAAGTTTCAAAGTTTGTGAGTAAAGGTTAAGCTTTTAGAGGTAAAGTGAGGCATACGAGGATAAACATCAGTGACATTCGCAGGACGAGAAGAGAGGCAAAGCTGGCAGTGCTCTCCTGATATAATACCAGCTCTTAATTCCTTCCACCCATCCCCCAACACACACAGACACACACTCCATGTTCTTAATGCAATGAGCTGTCGATCAAATGCCTGCTGCTAAAATGTCCTCCTGAAAGAAGCAGCCTTCTTAAGCCCACGGTGCGGCTGATGTGCGTCCATGTTTGCATCCGTGCGTTTTGTCAAACTGACTGATAATGTGGTGAATTGCAGTTGCACAGGAAAGCGTGCTGCTTTTTTCATCTATGATGTGCATCAGAGCTGAGGCAGCTAGGTTTTATCTTTCCACTCTGAGTCCCCTGCTTTTTAAACTCTTCCTCCTACAAATCTATGAAATAGTTTTATTTCTAACACTTCTCTATTCCCTAAGATAAAAAGCAGTATAGACTATTATCCTCACAAATGGTTTATAGCTGCAGGAAAAGCAATCTTAGAAATCAGCATGAGGTTAAAAATCCTTCCCACCCATGTTACTGGAAATCTTAATATAACTTATTGCGTAGAGAGTAATATAAAAAAGGTTTGATCAGGTGCTCATTTAAACAAAAAGCTATAGTCAACAACAACAGGTATGTGATGCACTTGTTGTGAAGCTTCCTTATAATCAGGTTTGAACTTGAAGAATTGGGAGCAAAGTACAGAACAAAAATTCTAGTCAGACTGACTTAATTAGTTTCAAGACACCTAAGGGCCCCCTGTCACACTGCAGATTTAGCCAGCGTATGCCTGACGTCCCAGAATCTCCTAAAACGCTGCCATACACTGAACTTTCTATGCATTTTTTCCAATTTTGGGCGTAAACATAGCGTAATCATAACGAGTCCAGAACATATGTCCAACAGCCTGACTTATGCATAACGGATGGCAGCACAATGCCCATGAAATGTTAAAGCTAGAGGGGCAGCGAGGCGGCCGGCTTGCATAAAAAGATTTCTTTGATCGCAGTATTAACATAGAAGAAAAAAAAGAAGGAAATAAAAAGAAAGAAGGTTTGCAGATGCAGCAGATTCAGCGTCATGTCTGCTGGTGGTGGGCGTGAACGCCACCATGATGGGGATGAAGTCTGGAGGAGAACTGACCGTTCCCTCCTGTGAACTAGGGGTAGGCAAAATAATAGTCATGACGATGCATCGCAATTCTAATTTTTGTGATCTACTGCATCGATTCTTGACGCCAAGTATCGATTCTTAATTTAAAAAAATTAATAAAATACATGAATGGTTGGCGCACATCAGCCAAATCAAGTGGAATACAACTTCCAGTCCAGCAGATGTCGCTGCGGATGTGTTGACACCCGCTGCTTTGTCACAAGCATTTCTGGCCGCGGCATACTGTGACAAGTCATATGAAATAAACATTTCAAGTCAGATGCTTGGATGCATTTTGGCTTTAAAAACAAAGAAGGTAAAAATGAAATTGATATGACGCACGTCATTTGCAAAAGGGGAAATGTCATACATTTGAATGTTTTCGTTTCATTGGTTTAAAGGACCACTGAGGCCATGTAAACAGCACTGATTATCCTTATTTTGTTATTTTAAGTTTGATGAATCCTAAGATCTGTCAGTGTGTCCACGCCAGTATTAGTAATATTTGTATCCAGTATTTGTTTTAATGGCAACACCTCCAAAAGTCGTTTCAATAAATCCAGCTATGTATGAATTCAGTTGCTTTCAGTTATGTATCAATTGAAGACACGATCCAGATCATACCCAGCCAGTCAGCCACTGGTTAGGGCTGTATTATTTTCTTACAGTGTTCAATGAAAATATCGCAACGCATCGTGATGCATCGCAATATTTCAAGTGTCGTGATGCATGGTGATAGAATCGCATCATGGCATGTGAATCGTGATTCGAATTGAATCATGACTTCTTTGCCAATACCCACCCCTACTGTGAAGTCTTACGTTATGCATAGTTTCTGGATAAGCTAGACGCCACGACTTATGAATAACTTACACTTAACGTATGTCAACGATCAGATAACTGACCTGGAACTTATGGCCAACATATTGCATACGCTGGGATACGCTGGGAAAGTTTGAGCATACTCAAACTTATTTTAATTTTGTGAAGCACTTTGTGACCTCTGTATGTGAAAGCTACTATATAGATAAACATTAAACATTTAATTTCCTTCAGAGAACAACAAAGCATTTTTGAATGAAGTTCTTCAAAATGGTGACATCGATGTGACATGACGAGCGTAGACCAGCTGGGATACTTGCACCCAAACACACACGATGCCTGCAGATTCAGTTCACAAATCGACACATTTCATAAAATGCACAGTCAATTCTTTATTTCATTGGACAACAGATGATGGTGAATGTTGCTATGACAACCAGTCATCTATTTTAAGCCATAGCACTAATCAATTCCTGCTCTGTTGTTGCCTGAGGGGTGGAGGGTGTATGTTAAGGTGGAGGGCACTGATAGAAGAGGACAGTATTTTATGGCGGGGGAGTGAGTGTGCACTTGGAGGAGGAGAACAAAGTAACACACGGGAGATTTCTTTATAATATGGATTTCTATATATTATCAAAGTTCCTAAAAAAACCAACGTGTCCTTTATCTGACCACACAGGTTGAACCATCAATTTCTGATAGATGTATGATTATTATTATGGTCCAATTCACTCCTAACATCTCACACATCTATACACACACACACAAATAATATCAATGAGCAAAAGAATGAATGAATGTCAAAATAGTCAATAATTGTGTAATCTGGGGCGTGCAGGTGGTGCAGTGGATAGTGCGGGCGACCCATGTACGGAGGCCTTGGTCCTTAACGTGGCCGACCCGGGTTCAAAAACGACCTGTGGTTGTTTACCACATGCCCCCCCCCCCCTCATATGTCATACCCCGTTTTCTGTCAGCCTTCTGTCAGAAAAATGAGCCACTAGTGTCGAAAAAACTAAAAAAACTAATAAATTCTGTAATCTAAGTCTGAATTAGCGAGGAGGGGTGTTGGACTTTCTGAGGGAGGCGTTGCAGAGATTGCTGACCACAGGCATCTGGACAACCAGACTCCCAAAAAGCTGTGAAATTGTCCTTTTTGAATAGAGTATGCAACAATAGAGCAGTTGACCAATGTGACTGATAAAAGATCAACTGTAGTGGAAAACATGAAAACGCTATTATGCAATTATATTTATTATACTCTACATATCATAATATTTATTTAATTTCAAACTCCAGACTTGTAAAATGATTCAAATCAATTGCCAGACGCAGGATCAGACTGTAGGAATTGTGGGTAAAAATGCTTCTTGCCAAAAAGAATATGTGTTGTGAATTGGCGCCTGAATTGAATCTCA